TTGGAAGAGAGACACGACAAATGGCTTTAAACGTCCACGAATGGTTCTGGATGCCTGCAAAGTATTTCCAGTCTTTAAATTGCTATTTACATTCTCAGCCAGCTTGTGCAACTTATCCATTCTCTCTTCAAAATTCTGGATTCTTTTTGATTGCTTTTTTTTCCTTGCAGTGATGTTCTGTGATTCTGTTGCAATTTCTTCGCAAAAATCGAAAAGCAATGTATCGAAATCCAAGCTTCCATCATCACGCGGTAAAAACTCAAACAGCTTCGTTGTTACATTATGCACAACGCGTGCGAAGCTGGAGTCTGCAGCCATCGGTTTTGCTTTGCGTGAACTCGTTTCTCCCTTTTTTGCTGTTATTTTAGCGTCATTAGAGCGTGTAACAACTGACGATACTGCTTCAACAAGCTGGTCTGTAGCCCCAGGGAAAGCTAAAGGTGCTAATTCTTCGGCGATCCACTCTTGAGTATGCATGAAAAGGCGTTCTTCAAACGCCCTCGTTTGCATATTATTGTTCGCAGTACTTTCCCTTTCGGCTGCATTGAAAAGTTTATTTGGCCGTTCGAGAGCAATGTACAGCCTTTCCCAATTCTTCCAAGGACGCATTTGTATCTGAAAGTGCGGTCAGGGCGGCAACGTCAACTTCATGTGTATCAACTTTGATACTTTTGCACATTTCCAATGCTTCAAGCAAGAGTTTCTCTTTTTCCTTGACAAAATCAAATAAACTATATTTTGACGCCAGGAAGACCAACATTGAAACGACCATGCTATCTACATACCCAAGTGAGATTTGATGTTGGAGAACCTCTTTAGCCCGGTCATAGTGAACCCGTCGAGAATTCTGTGTCTTTTCTGAGGACAACGGGACATCTATTGAATTGAAGTATAAATTTGTCATATCCCCAACGTTAATGTGCAGCTCGGCTTCGAATAATGGAGCATTCAATAGGGCACTCGACTTCTTGTAGTTGGCTAGTGCCTCCTCATAAAACGCAAGGGCATGATCGACGTCTTCCAGATTGACCCAAAGCATCCCAATCCTCCTTTATAGTCGCATGATATGGATGTCTCCGGTGACTTTTGAGGTATGCTTCCATGCTTCTTTCAACAAACTTTCACCTCTTTTGAATCCTCCTTTTCAAACATTATCATGCAAAGCTGTAACAAGCACTCAACAATTGCGCACGTGTTCTCATTATCGACCAGGAAACAGTCCAGAGCCTCCCTATAGAAGGGCTCTGCTTGTAAAGGAAGACCTTGTTGAACGTAAAATGTCCGAGAATTTTAAGATACTGAGCTTTGTGGCGCGCTTTAAGCTCGGAATTGGGGTCCTCGAGGCTCCTTTTTATCAGAAGTACCGCATCCTCGTGTCTTCCAACATGAAAGGTTATCGGCAGCAACCCACAGGTTAGAGGCACTTTTATGTCCAAGTTAGTTATCCTCTTTAAACACTCTTGCGCAACCATCGAAGAGTTCAGCGCCTTTTCTGACTCATTTAAAGCGTTCCAGGCAATCGCTAGCATGGCATGAGTGTTGCATTCCAAAAAAGGCTCTCGCTTGAAACTGTCACTTTTTAAAAGTGCTAAAACGTCCTTGAAATAGGAAATAGCTTCCTCATTTGGGGGTGCAGAGGATTCCTACCATCATTTGATCTTCGATATTAATCAATTTTTCGCCGCTTTCACCATTCAGGGACTTGCGTAATTGAAGAAGCTCCTCGTAGTAAACTTTACCTTCCTGGTACAGGCCTAGTTTTAATGTGATTATTCCAAGCAAAGTTAACGTCATCTTGGTTTGTGGTTGTAGTTAGAAATGAAAAAAGTACGTTCCATCGCGAGTGCTCGTTGTAAACACTGGTAAGCTTGCTGAAAATTCCCTTGATTAATCAATAATCCACCGAGCTCGTTTAAAATGCAATGCTCTGGATGGAAATCCCTTCTTCCTCTACAACCATTCCGAGATAAGCAACCAGTTTTTCCGACTCCTCTCGATTTATTTGCCGATGAGTCATTCGCATAGGGCTAAAGTAAGTCGGAAAGTTCTCGGACTGATCGACGATCGCACAATGATCAGAAATGTGTCGAGCCACTTCCCTTGGGAAAGGTGAAGAGGCGCAAATGTTCCAAGACCTTCAGTAATTCCAATCTGCTATCTGCGTTCATTTTGCAGTAAAATAATGTTGATCGGCGGAACGAAGTGCCATTTTGATCGACATTCCCTTCTGGAAGGCCATGCTTCTTGCACAGTCTACGAGTTAAAGCTTCAAGTTGTTTTCTCTACGCACAGAGCCATTTCCGCACTACTGTCCAATTCCATCTGAAACGAAAGTCTGCGAAGTTGCATTTCCACATCTTCGGGGTTTTCTTCCAGTGCTTTTTCGTAACACTCAAGAGCTTTCTCGTACTTCAAGATACGACTATAAACATGACCCCTAACTGCGGAGAGCAGTCAAAAAACGTCTGTTCCGCAAACGAACTTGAATTGTTTCCGTCCAATATACAGCATTGTCGAATAGCTTTGTACAAAGGCGTTGCAACGAAGAAAATGTGAAACAGTTCTTCTTCATTCAGCAAACAATAAAACGTATCAAAATTGCTTGCAATTGCCTCATCTTTATCAATGGTGTTTGCAATGACTAGCTCTCCCTGTTTTCCGGCTTCAAGGTATGTTTTTATTCTCAGTTCGAGAGCAATGCCTGCTGCACTGGCTAAATTTTCCCGGCCTGCAGATGTGATTATCTCATTTCTTTCCAACTCATCGAGAATCTTGAATGCCCCATTCATCCTGATCCCAAAGAATGATGCAAGACCTGCAAACACACGATCCACTAAGCGATAAATCTCCTTTTTAACATCGTACAGTTTGCCGTCTTGCACATTGTAAATGCTGGGTAACATCTTTTCATAGCGGGAAAAATCCTTTCGAAGTCCAGCCATTCCTCTACACACTCCACGACATGGAGGATTCCCGTTAGAAATATGGTTGTCATGGCAATTACTAAGATCACACGGAGAACACAAATATTTTTCCAGCTGTGCTCTGTATTGCTCGATCAATTTCGTTTCCCCATTCGATTCTAGTGGAGCAACGGTTAACAGAATATCTGCAAGATTTGGATTTTTTTGACACCAAGAGTCGCTCTGGAACTCTGCCATTTTGGCCGGGCAATGAATCAACTCGAAATCTTTCATGTTTCCCAACGGTGTCTTGCATGCCTGTGGAAGGAATCCGTCGAAGGATATCCCCCTCGGTGTTACATTGTCGTAAAACCATTCACCGCTCAATGCTTTGATACCCATGCTTGGTAGAATAGTTTCCCCGAGGTTGATTATCTGCGGAAAAAGCAGTCTAAGGTTAGAAACATTATTGTGAATGGACATCTTGACTGGTTGACTGTACCCATGCGGGTATGCCAAAGACTCATCCTAAATGCTTTTCATGGAAGTATCCAGCTGAGCTAGTATACTGCAAATGGACTGGAACAAGTTCATTTGATCAATGATTTATTATTTATGTTTCCCCTTTAGGTGTACATCCTGACGTTAGACATACAAAATTATCAGAGGATAACATAAAGTAGGGTCATTAATTGAATGCCCTTTGACGGATTTTAGCTTCACCCATTGAGCCTTACCTTATAGATTATTCCTAGCCACGTTGCCACGCTAAAAGCCTACAGTTTTCATACCGACAATGAAATGGGATTCATTTACTTACCTGTAAGTGAACCAAGTTCGTTAAATTACGAAAGAACACTTTGCATTTCACTTCTTCTGAACTTATCAATATGGCCCATTCAAGATCGGAGTATGGCGTCATTTCGTCTCGCGCCAAAGACCCCAGAACAACAACTTCGTAGTCGCATGGCGGATCTCCTAACACCTGGACGCATTGACTGATAACTCTGCTCAGGAACCGTTTCACTTTTGATGATATTCCTTCGCATAATTTCCTAATCTCCGATGCCCGTTCAATAAATTTGTTGGTCTTCTCCGGTTTTTCGTGCTCTTGGCTATCGTAGGCTGACCTTTTCTGCTTTAACGATTCCAAATATTCTTTCGCCTCGTTTCGTAGTTCCTCCACCTCCTTCTTGTCAAGTTCTGAGTCAAAATCACATCGAAGTGGATCTCCTTCAGCTGATAACACTAAGTTGTTTTGGATACTCAGCAATCGTTTAGATACCGCCTTCGTTGTCTCAATCAAGCAATCCTTGCCGGCACGACCTTTCTTTATGCAGTTCTTCACGAAGTTGTACAGCGACCCTGCTTGAAGAAGAAGTCTCTGCTTTTCTAAAGAATTACCGTTAATTTTCGCTGCTTTCGTTCCAGACTTCCCCTAGCAGAAATGTGGTTCCCAGCTCACCTCTTTCGACCTGTTCTCTAGAATTTGCTTTCGTACGGCTTGAGAACAGTGTTTTTCAGCAATATCTAGCTCCGCTCTAGACAAAGCTTGTTTCGCCATTGCAACCAATTCAGCACTTGTGTGCTAAAAAATGAAGCATTAATTGTTTTAAAAACGCTGCCTTTTAGTGAAACGAATTTCTTTTTATTTCGACGAATAAAAAGATATCTTTCAGCATAACGTGTTTTACAATTGACCGTAACGAAAAAGATGGCGGCATGTACAAAATACTGCAGAGCTTGATCAAAGTTCACATTAAAATGTAATAGTTTCGCCCCTGACTACAATGTGAAGTACTAATTTTTTTGAAATTCGTGGCGGCATGTACATTTTACCAGAATGCATTGCAGGCATTAAGAACGATTGATTGAAAAAAGATGGCAAGAAAAACTCTTAATGACGTGAAATTTTAACACAGCGAAGAAAATAACTTTCTGTTTTATGTTTGTCCTTTAAAAGACGTCAGTTCGCTTTTTTAAACCATTTCCGAGCGCAATGCATTCTGGTAAAATGTACATCCGCCATTTTTTTGTTATGGGTAATTGAAGTAGCTGGACGAACACCATCAACTAAATGCATAACAATTTCATTACCTCGACGGCAGCTTTATTTTGTTCGCCCAGCATTCCTGGAAAGATTACTGTTCGAAAGTCTATTGAGAGAAAATTAAGATTATTATTATTAATTGTGAAATTCATGAATAATTAATGAGTCTAACTTGCAATCATTGCGCAGTATTTTGGTCACATGTATACATCTGTAATTCTCCATAAAGGTCTCATTAATTGTTAATTAATAATTTTGTTAATTAGTAACTTCATAACTTTGTTACACACATGTCCTAATATGCATTAAGCTTAATTTGTTAATTTCACAAGCACGTTAAAATACGAACCGAAAGCTTTGCAGTGTTACATATCGACGTGGTGTACCTACAAGCTAATTTACTTAACTATTAACTTATTGAACAGAATGGAATAACTATATAGAAAATAAATATATTCTTTTTGAGAATAAAAACTTGCTGTCGAAAAATACTGCAGGGCTTGAACAAAGTTCACATTAAACTACAATGTGAAGTGCTAATTTTTTGGAAATTCATCAAATTTCTACCCGCATTGCTTTAAGTATACTCTATGATATTTACCTTGCTGTTTTGCTTGTAAATATGACCTTCCCCCGTTCAACCATGGCAACAGTTGCCTGAAACCTAGTAAATTGAACATTGACATTCCTAATTGCAATTATAGCTAATTAATTGATTCCATGCAATCTTGCCTGCTATTTTATAAATTTCTCTTATATAATTTGAAACCTGGCCAGAAATTTGATACAGTCAGCGGTTGTTGTATTATTAGATTGCGGGCGCACGCGAGAATGACGTAACCTTGCTAGGTTTTGCTTAAGAAAAAAGTAATTTACAAGTATATCATTCATATCAAATCACATTGCATAACAAGAAATAAAATGCTAAATGTTTTGCGCAGTGGTGTAGCCAGCCAGACGATAGAATTTTAACAATTAAAGCAAAGTTATCATAATTATTCATTCCTTTAGAAATTGATTGTTTTCCGAGTGAACAAACACAAAAATATTAGCATAACCAGGAGTAGGCCTTCAGATTAGCTACGAGAAAAATCTGTAACGCCATTTGAAACCAGTTTAAGTTACAGAACGTTGCGTATTTTTTACACATATCGGGTTGATCATTATTCGGACTAACAAGACTTTTGGACACGAAAAAGGTTGTAATATGACGATATTATACGGACCTAAACTTGTCACTCAACGTTGTTGTACAATTTCAATAACATATGGAACCAGCTATTTGAAATAGGTCTTATCTTGCCTCCTCGTGAAAATTGTTGAAAACTTGGTGAGAGAATATCAAACACGAATGGGCAAGTAAGGTAAGCCGTGTTTTTCTTGTATATTTCTCGCGTTTTGACTGTGCGAATAAGCCTCATTGTATATGCGCCTTTAATGCCTCTCGCCATGTTGTATTTAATTTCTGGTCGGGTGATCCAACAGATTGAAGCAAAGATTGCATCAACACGTCAGTGGGTTTTTTCAGGGATTTCACAATTAAGGTAAATTTACTTCAAATTAACTACCACCAGGGAGGGAGGGTTCAGTCTTAACAGGATATAAAAGTTTTAAAGACAGGATTTACAACTAGCAGTAATCACAGATTAGCGATGTGCGTTCGAAATGTGTTGATTTCGGTTAACGATCGTTAACAAAAATGTTAACATTATAAGGTCACAGGCTCGATCACAGCGTATGTGATACAAAAGGTTACCCGCAAAATGAGTAATTTAACAACAGTGATGGCTGTCAAAGTAGAGCGAGCACATGGTCTCCAGTTACTATGGCGACACATCAGAACGAGGCAAATCTGACATCGCAAATCTCGATATGACACGGCTAGGAAGCGTTCTCCTTCTTCGAACGCAAAAAGTTCTTTGAGGACAGTAGCTTACATGACTTTTATAACAACACATATATAGACAAAGCACGTGCACTGAAAACGAAAAATAAGGCACAAGTAGGCGTAAATAAGTGCGTTGCAATTCTGTGTGGAATCTAACACGTAATTAAAAAATCCCACAAATTGCATAAACCCGCGAATTGCTTTTGAAAGAATTCTAGTATGTATTTGAATGTACTTTGATACTTCTTTTCAGGGTCACGTTGAGCAAATTTTCCGCGTGAGATCTGCGTATACTTTGTCATGTTATAAGATTGTACGACTGTACCGACTATTCATGCATGCATCGAGGTCAGTGACTAGGACAAGCATTACCGCCAGATTTAAATCAAAAAATGTATTTACATAATTTATAAATAACGTTACCAAACTGATTTCTGTGCCGCCTACGGTACAATATAGAATTTGCAAGCTTCGTATATCCTGCTACAAACAGTTTCAATTCTAAATTGATGCTTTTATAGGCTAATGTTATTTGCTCTATACTGACCGTCATCTCTACTTCTCGAGGGTGTCTTTGAGCTGCATGCCATTTTGTCTGCAAGAATTTGAAGAAAAAAAGTAAAACACCAGTTTCATAGTCATGTGCAAATCATGGTCATTGTCACGTTCATGGTCAGTATTACTATTTTTAAGTCTTTATAAAAAATAGTTACATCTGGGGCCGGTTGTTTAAAGCTGGGTTAGCGCTAACCCTGGGTTAAATCTTACTCCGCTGTTTTGGTTTATATGCTTCTGCACCGCTGTTTGTTTCAGGATTTCACAAAAGAAGACTTCTACTGATCCACAAAATATTAATGAAAAAAACATGTTCAATTTCATAGAAATATTGATGTGAAAATTTGAGTTAACCCTGGGTTAAGCTAACCGGCTTTTGAACAACCGGCCCCAGACGTGTAACTGTACAAAATCAAACAATAATTTTTTTTGACTGTTTACAAATAATAATCTGACTGATAGTTAAGACTTATTAATTTACTGGCTAAAATAGTCAAAAAGACATCTATTTTAAGCCGTTCGTTTAAACCATTCTGTCTTCATATATGCAGGTCATGGCCATGGTCAAGTGCAGGCCATGATCATAGTCATGTGCAAGTCATGGTCATAGTCATGTGCAGGTCATGGTCATAGTCATGTGCAGGTCATGGTCATAGTCATGTACAGGTCATGGTCATGGTCATGGTCATAGTCATGTGCAATTCATGGTCATAGTCATGTGCAATTCATAGTCATAGTCATGTGCAAGTCATGTTCATAGTCATGTGCAAGCCATGGTCATAGTCATGTGCAAGTCATGGTCATAGTCATGTACAGGTCATGGCCATAGTCATGTGCAAGTCATAGCCATGGTCAAGTGCAAGCCATGGTCATAGTCATGTGCAAGTCATGGTCAAGGCCATGGATTATTCCTTGTTGAAATTTGTTTCGCTGAAGGAAGAAAATGTGCTGCAAGTTGGGACCACGCCCTTTTTTCTAAATGGTTCCGGCAAGCCCGCATGCATGTAGATTGTTTTAAAGGTCACTAACTGGATGTGTAACATGCAATACATTGGGTATTTTCCTTTACACCGAAAAAACTACCCTCAAAATATGACCGATTTAGCCATTTTGGCCGTTAAAAGCGAAGTCCCCATAACAGCTAATATCCGGCATGAAAATGGTAGGTTTTCAACCCACGGCAAACGACCCACCCTTAAAAAATTTCGATTGAGTGGTGCTACGTCACACTATGACAAGCTGTTCTAAAAAGGTATTTTGATGCTGATAAATACTTCCATGCCTTAATCCAACTCATCATGAGAATGTTGTAACTTGTGGACTATAATAATAAATCAAGCTCCACTGTCCTAAAGGTATATGCCGAGGCGTAGGAGCATACGCGATCTCATTAGTACGTCTTTCTTCGGTTTCTGTATTGCTTCAGAATTTGGAAGACCCATAGACTAAGAGGACTGTACAATACTGATTAGAAATACTTTCCTACAACAATTCCAACATCGCCCGACAAGGTAATCGACTCAAGACGTAAAGTACGGTCAATGACAATGAATGAGTAACGACTTACCAACCGAGACTTCAACAATATGATTGCTTCGTTTGTGAAAACAACTTTAATCCCCTTTTCCCTTCGCACTTGTTAAACAATCTTCTACCGGCGTTTCTAAAAAAAACACACTATATAAATTCTGAATGAGAGGCCAATGCCACTCAATGTACCCAATCATCTAACATTCAGTTATACCTTTTGAACACACAATGATTCTGGCCATTCGGACAAAATGCTTTTATTTACAGTCGTCACGCAATATACCAAACTATCATTAAAATATGGTTTCGATTTCATTTTCGATAGGTCTGAGTGAAATTAATAACTTATTCGCAGAAAAACGAAAGCACATTGCATGAATGAATGAAATATGACGATATTTAGAAGGTATAAACCCAATATTCATAAGAATAATGGAATGTAAAAATGATACCGCCAAATATTAAGACATAAAATAAAATATTTAATTTTGGCTTCAATTTGTTTCAAGGATAGCGACCGAGTTGCCGTTTCACTTAACATAGATTGTTCAAGTCAAGGTTGTTATACCAAAACATGTAGCCTTCTTGAATTTCATTTTCATGACATATGCGGAACATAAACTAACTCAGTTCGGATGAATTTAGACACCCTAATCTCTAGGAATTTCTTGGCAATGTAATTTATCACTTTTCCATTTGGACTTATGCGGTCATGGAAGGGACCTTTACTTGAAGAGGTCATATAAATAACACATCAAAATCAGCTGATAGTCACATCTTACTGATAAGCCGCACTTGTAGTATAAGTCAAAATACTAGGTCGCGTCCTTATCTCAAACCACTCACCCATGGCAACCGCATACTTTTCGAATTCCTTGTTTTTAATTCTCTGTTGTTCTCTGTTGTCTTTAGACTTTTTAAATTTTACATATTACTATTCTGTCATAATTCTGAGGTTTTTTTGGATTAGGATGTGCAAAAGAATCGGAGAAATACCCATTATAAGATCTTAACGATGAGCGTTGCCGTGAGCGATGCGATAATACATCATGCATGCATATTATGAATGTTTATGTAAAAAATCAACACAAATCGTTTTACTGCCGGAGCCTCGATTTTGAAGCTAGATATATCAAAATGATCCTAGCTAGAAATGTGAACTAAATCACTGTAACCAAGGATTAGGCCGCTTTGAGGTATAATATCTAATAATAAATAAATCGTAGAGGTTTAAAGGATCTTATAAGACCATAGACTAAGAGGACTATACTGTCTATACAATACTGATTAGAAATACTTTCTACAACGATTCCAACCTCTTGCGACAAGGTAATCGACTTAAGACGTAAAGTACGGTCAATGACAATGAATGAGTAACGACTTACCAACTGAAACTTCAATAATATGATTTCTTCGTTTGTAAAAACAATTTTAATCCCCTTTTCTCTTCGCACTTGTTAAGCAATCTTCTACCCGTGTTTCTGAGAAAAACACTATATAAATTCTGAATGAGAGGCCAATGCCACTCAATGCACCCAATCATCTAACATTCAGTTATACCTTTTGAACACACTATGATTCTGGCCATTCGGACAAAATACTTTTATTTACGGTCGTCACCCATGCAATATACCAAATTATCATTACAATATGGTTTCGATTTCATTTTTGATAATCTGAGTGAAATTGATAACTTATTGGCAGAAAAACGAAAGCACATTGCATGAATGAATGAAATATGACGATATTTAGAAGGTATAAACCCAATATTAATAAGAACAATAGAATGTAAAAATGATACCGCCAAATAGTAAGACATAAAATGAAATATCTCATTTTGGATTCAAATTTGTTTCAAGGATAGCGACCAAGTTGCCGTTTCACTTCACATAGATTGTTCATGTCAAGGTGGTTATTTTAAAACATGTAGCCTTCTTGAATTTGATTTTCATGAAATATGGAGAACATAAACTAACTTAGTTCGGATGAATTTAGACACCCTAATATCTAGGAATTTCTTGGTCGTCTGGGGTCATAGAAGGGACCCTTGCTTAACATTGAATATCTCTGGAAGTATTTCGGCTAAAGATACCGGAATACCACAAACCGATAGCGCTTGAAGAGGTCATATGAATAGTATATTCTAATCAGCAGATATTTATAACTTATAAGCCGCACTTGTAAATAAGTTAAAATACTAGGTTGCGTTGTTATCTCAAATTACTCACCCATGGCAACCATATACTTTTCGAAATTCCTTGTTTTTGATTCTCTGCTGTTCTCTGTTATTTTTGGACTGTCTGAATTTTACGTATTATTATCTGTTATGATTCTGAGGTTTTTTTGGATTAGGATGTGCAAAAGAATCGGAGAAATAGTCATTATAAGATAAGCGCTGAGCGTTGCTAAGCGCGTGCTTGATGCTTGCTCGACCTCAGAATGTTGTCACGCGGTTCAAAAATGTGACAAAAGTCTGTGTGATGCCCACTCCCCAGGGTTTATTAAGTGCCAAAAATCATAAATAAATCGCATGCATTTTAAAGTAAATATCATAGTGAATTTGCATATAGAACTAAAAAACATACAAAAACAGATACAAAGCATATGAGAACTAAAAAAATCATCTATTTATTAAGGACAATTTCCTCTTTAATTCAATGCAGTTATCTGCAATTATTTTTATTAAAATCGGTCAATTATTCGGACAGGAGACGCAAGTTAAAACTGAACCAACCACTTTTAAACGTCATCTGATCAGCCGGCAAAGAGTTTTAAAACAAAAATACAAATTATTTTCACTATCGTATTTGCAAGCTTCTTTCTTCAAATTGAAGTTGTGATAACAGATTGATTTCACACCAAAATAATGGAAATAGATTATGTGGGGAAATAGATTATCTGCATGGTAGGTGTAGATGTTTGGAAATCGCTTTAAAGAAGCATTTCTTAAAAATAAAGAGTTAAATGCTTTTTGTTAAAATGGATTTCTTTAACAGTCATTAAAAGGTTTCAAGACAACTGAGCATTTACAGTGTTTTGTCTACCACAATCTCATTTAGCTACATTACGTTCAATATACTAATATTGGGGTTGACGTAAAGCGAAATGTGTGAAATACGCCGCCAAATAATAATGTGAAAGTTAAGAATGTTTATTTGAAGATATGGTTATATTATACCAAGTCGAAAAGCAAAAGGCTCCGACAAAATAATTTTGTTTTATGTGACGGCACAATATGGCGAATTTTTATTATGCAAACATCTTATTATGCAAAATTGTTTCGCTTTCATGAAATTAAGCAGTATACTTCAATAAAAGTAAAACGAAAGCACGTTGTTTTGAACGAAATATACAACATCAGAAGACAAACAAACTACTAATAAAAATGACAAGAAAGTAAATTAAAAAGTGTTATTTATAAGATTAGACTAAAATTCCTTCAATTCGGCCCAAAATTGGCCTCAACAAAAGGCCGCCGGAATTATCGCTTCCGTTCACATAATTTAGAGTTCTCTTTAATTGACGTGACTGTTGCAGTTAAGAAGGCTTGTTGTAAAGCATGCAGAGGGTGTTGTACTTCCGGAATTTGAAAACCACTGAGCGGATACGCGAGAACGGCTTTGCCAAATAGATTTGAAAAGGATATGAAAACGACGACATGACGCGTGGCGTTTAAAATCCCGTCCATGGACCCACGTTCCCTCGTAGAGGGGTATTTATTTATTTGATTCCCAATCGACATTTTAACATAAAATATTTGCTGACATAAATTGTTTAACGTAAAAATATTCTTCCGTTCCAAATTCTTTAGCATCGTGCAGACGGTTATTTCGCTGCATGTTCCCCCCGAATGAGATGAAATTTAGAAAATATTCACGAACGGAACATATTTTCTGCATTTTTTGCAAAGGCCACTGCTTGTCCGGCGAATTCGGGATATTTTTGAAATATAAAATGTAGTCGAATCGTAAAATATTGACTGGATCGTAAAAGCTTTGACGTCGATTGGAAAAGTGCATTTGAAATATTGTTGACTGAATTGTTGGACGAAATATTCCCTTGCTTTATTTACACGCAAACGCATTATTGCGGGATTGTTGTGTAGTCATTTGGAAAGTGTAGACTATAGACTATGAAACTTGTGACTTAATTTTGTCAGGCTTTTCCAGAAGTCCAAGATATATATTACGCTCCTAAAAAGAGGAAGTACTTAACACGGGCCGGGAAGGCTTATAAGGATATTAAAACATGCAGCATGCCAGCAATCATTATTTTATACACCACTTCCTGCTTATTGCGTTAAGCCAGCTTTAAAGCCATGAGGAATTACGTCTTCATAACTATCGTTATATTTGCTGCGAAACACTTGCCTTGGCAGTGCAAAGGTAAAAAAAACTCATATTTATTTCCTTTATGAAAAATTCCACATTCAATCGACCAGTATGAAGTTTTAAGTTGTAATATGTAATCATGTTCATATCGACATAAATACTTCCGTTAGGGTATTGAACGTCAACATTATATACTATACAAAGTGAGTACAAAAATGATTATAATATTGAGAGGTATAGAACTTCGGTTAACTGCATGCGTCGAGTTGGACGCCAGATTAATCTGGATAGTCATAAGCTCGGCAGTTCGACACTATCTGCATGTCTAAAAGTCGCCGTAAATCCTGGCGTATCGCCGAGTTTGAAGCTAAATCTTTTGAGCGCAAACCTGAAGTCTGACTTGATAGCTGTCCGCGTGTAGAAAATGAACGAATTTCCGAAAGCTAATGGTAAAATTTGATTTGGACGCCAGAACCATTTCATTCTCGGTGGACTTGATATTTCATTGTTTTAAGTCTTTTTCCTTGTCCTTGTTTTCTTGACCGTGTGTCCTAATGCGATACTAGCTACTTACTAACTAACTGAGTGTAAGGTTTTTAAAGGCCAATGCATTTACACTATGCGATTTGTTGCATACGATTCATATACCCTGGCGTATGTGAACGTATGAACATGCACCGGCACATGCAAACGTGACACTTTAAATTCCACCCTAAACAGATATTAATATAGTGGCATTTGTCCTCCTTTGCATCCGTCAGAATGATAATTGCATCTAAATAAGCCTTAAGGTAGAATGTCAAACTGAGATCTTGGCGATAGCACATTAAACAAAAAGGACCTATTCAACAGGAAGTTGCTAGTTTGCGGTTGTAACCCCAAAGAAGGGCTGATCCGCAGGCTAATCTGACGAACAAATCGCTATTTTGTATTTCCTGACATCCTGAAGACTTTCTGACCCGTGAAGATTACACAGAGATCAAATACATCGCTAGACGCGAGGTAGCTTTAATGCCTAGCGAGCATCCTGTTATATAAACGCGATTAAGACGGTCAGACAAGGCGTAGACGATTCATCAGTTACAATATCGACTTGTCTGATACACAAGTTTCCTTATTAGAAATCGGAACTAATCCACTTCACTTCTAGAGCGCTAAATACAACATAATTTTGTATTTGGTTGTATGGATTCAGTTTGCAGACATGCAATTCTTCAATTCTTGTTTTTGTAGGCGAAAACTTCGCCATAGCAAGCAACAATTTTTATGCTCTCGTTTTTGTTGTAGTCCTTGTCCAATGGGCGGCCTCCATTCCTGCCGTTGTACTAGTTAGAATGGGCAGCAGCCACCGGTGTATTTAGCTTTAAAAACGCGGAAATTGGCGATGTGCGTGAAAAATATTCTCTCTCGTCAAAATTCTTGCAAAAGGGATCTTTGTGATGTATGATCGTCTGGCTGCATTTCAAATATTTTGTTGTGTCAAAGCAAAATAACGCTTCTAGTTCCATGGCAGCTTTACACTATCGTTAATTTATTGCCACGGTAAAAATTAATACCGGTATACCCATTTTCACCAGCGCTAAAAATATAATAGTTGAAAATAGCTAAAGCTAATATGAATGTACCAAATGAACCTTTTGGATAATCACGTCACAACATTATTGCTTTAAGTTTAAAACCACCTTAAAAATGAGTGATAAAAATTTTTCATTTGAACAATTAAATGTGGAATAACACGAGAACGAGGGTCGAGAACTTTCTTTTTATACTCTTTAGGTAATTTTTCGCGTACTCAATTAGCTTTTGCCTTTCCACAGCTTTAAATGTGCCGGTCAGATTACAAGGACCTTCGAGTGAAAACGGTACTGGTCGTGTTGAAGTTTTCTACAATGGAACTTGGGGAACAATCTGCGATGATGGATGGGATTTTAAAGATGCTAAGGTTGTATGTCGTCAACTTGGTTATCTGGATGCCGCAAAATTTCTTGAAGGGGGGCAGGTTCCTTCAGGTTCTGGACGAATATGGTTAGATGGTGTTAGTTGTTTAGGAACTGAAAATAGCATATCAAGCTGTTCTCATCGCGGATGGGGAATAAATAACTGCTATCATTCGGAAGATTCTGGAGTAGAATGTATAAAAACAGGTGAAGTTTCCAAAAATATCTGCTTACTATATTGATGCATTGCACAGTTTTAATGAAAATTGAATATTTGTTGAATCGTCGGAAGAATTTTTTCTTCGGAAAAGTTTTCATCTTTACCATGCATTCACGTTTATTTGATTGCTATAGTATAGTGCTTATTGGCTGGGCAAATTGAAATATGCAAACATTAATTGCACAATGAAATGCCTAAAGTGTATAAAAATTATTAGTAGTCCAAGTTCAATGTCGCCGGTTTAAATTGAGAGATCTGACAAGTGACATGTGAAAGTTCTCAAGCAACAATTTTATTGATACCACAACTGATAACACTGGCTATGCTCCACAAAACTACCAAGTTTTCTTTAATTTCATTCTTAAATCATTAATTAATATTCAAATCCTGCGTTTTTAGCTCAAGATTTGGCCATATAGAACAATCCTTATGCTCATGATAGTCTTGATTCTGTTCCTGTTGTAGTTTTGCCCCAAATAGGTTTTCATGTATTCCAAATTTGGCTGGACTTAGCGAACATGAAAGCTATTTAAAATTATAAGTCAACTGCTCTCTTTTGCGTGTTCTCCTTCATATAAAGGCTTTTTGTAAAAGATCTATTCGCACAACGCCAAAATTAACGGTCTACGTAATCTCTCATGCTTATGCTATTTTACACCAAAGTCACTGAAACCTTCTCTTGTACCTATATTTTCTCTCATTGACTGCGCATTCAAGTAGTTTTTGCCTTTTTACAGCTACAAATGTGTCCGTCAGAATACAAGGGCCTTTAAGTGAAAATGGTACTGGTCGTGTTGAGGTATCCTACAATGGAGTATGGGGAACAATATGCGATTATAGATGGGATTTTAGAGATGCTAGGGTCGTGTGTCGTCAACTTGGTTATCTAGATGCCGTCAGATCTCTTCAAGGGGGGCAGGTTCCATCAGGTTCAGGACAAATATGGTTGGAAGACGTCAGATGTACAGGAAAAGAAAAGGTTATATCAAGATGCTCACATCCCGGATGGGGAATTAATTATTGCACTCATTCGGAAGATGCTGGAGTAGAATGTATTAAAACAGGTGAAGTTATCAAAAAATACCTTAGCATGAATCCTTAATAAAAATAATTTTTTCGGAATATTTAGGAAAACACAGAAATGGAGCACACAAAATTGTAAACTACGACTCACAATCTTTGTATCGCTTATTTTTCCTATTTTTTCTTATTTTCTATTCATTGCTAATCTTCAACTAAAACTTCAAGGCTTTTAAATCGTTGGAAGCATTCGCATTTTTTTATCGGCTTGAACTGCCAATGACGTTTAGTTGGTCATGAAACGTTTTCATACCTATTTTAATTTCTGTCATTATATCTGCGTACTCGAATGGTTTTTCCTTTTTACAGCTTCAACTGTGTCGTTGAGATTACAAGGGCCTTCAAGTGAAAATGGTACTGGTCGAGTAGAAGTATTTTACAATGGACTATGGGGAACAATCTGTGACGATGGATGGGATTTTAGAGACGCTAAGGTTGTATGTCGTCAACTTGGTTATCCAGATGCCGTAAGATCTTATCAAGGGGGGCAGGTTCCATCAGGTTCTGGACAAATATGGTTAACTGACGTCAGATGTACAGGAAAGGAAGAGAATATATCAAGTTGTTCTCGTTCCGAATGGGGAATCAATAATTGTGATCATTCGAAAGATGCTGGAGTAGAATGTAGTAAAACAGGTGAAGTTACAAAATATCTGTTTTCCGCTATCGATTTATTGCCAATCACCAACTTAAACTTATAATGATATTATATAATATAATCCTGTTGCTGTGCTTGCACTTCAAATGTTTTTGCGTGTTAAATAGCTCGACTAATAGAGATATTCTATCACATCAGCCACCCTTACATTTTTTCAATTGCAAATCCCACACATCGCAAAAACCCACTCGCAAGCTTACTGAATTGTACTTGCAAATAACTAAATTTCACCTATTTTACGTATCTTATTACATGCCCATTTTCATTGGATAAAAGCTAAGCAAGCGAGCTGGCGAGCTGGATATTGCGAGTGGAAAAGGAGTTTAAATGTTAAAAGTTTAAATAGCTTTACACACAAGCATAAGCAAAATATTTGAAACCTAAGCCAATGCAAGACAAAAAAGGTTCCAAATATAATTATTTCATAGAATATCGTATATTTTATGAGATTGCCTATGTTCATAAGTTTTTTTTTGCCTTTCTACAGCTACAAATGTGTCGATCAGATTACGAGGGCCTTCAAGTAAAAATGGTATTGGTCGTGTTGAAGTATTCTACAATGGACTATGGGGAACAATCTGTGATGATGGATGGGATTTTAGAGATGCTAGGGTTATATGTCGTCAACTTGGTTACTCAGATGCAATCAGATCTCTTCAAGGGGGTGAGTTTCCCTCAGGTTCTGGGCAAATATGGTTAGATGACGTCAGTTGTAAAGGGAAAGAAGAGAATATATCAAGATGTTCTCATCCCGGGTGGGGAATTAATGATTGCGATCATTCGGAAGATGCTGGAGTTGAATGTAGTGAAACAGGTGAAGTAACCAAAATTGTCTTTCTATTGTCGTCTTCTCTCTTTCCTATTGAATAATAAATACTACCTTCATGGCCTATTTCCCAACTGAAACTTCAATATTTGTTGATTCGTTGGAAGCATTTGCGTTCTTCCACCTTGAACAGCGAATCGTTATAGTAACTATAATGATGATTGGCTGGTAAAATTGAAATATGCAAAAATAACAAATGTTACCCGAAGTATTTATCAGCTGTCTGAGTCCAACATCGCGAATCATTATTGTGATAGCTTACCTGACATAAGAATGTGACAGGTAAAAATCATGAACAAAGCTCATCTTTTTATTTTGTATCTTTTTGTACGTTCTGTTGTTGCAGTCAGGGTAATAAGCTATGGAATTGATACGCTTTAGTTGTCTCGCAAAAGCGCGCGGAAGGGGAGCGTTGAAGTCCCTAAAAATACTGCAGGAATAGAATTACTCTTTTCTTTGACTTATATTCCTCTTTTCTTAATAAAGGAATAGCAAATTCTTGAGTAATTTTTAATTTGAGAAATTTAATCCTGTAATTAATATTCTCATTTGAAATTGTAAAAAATCTCATCCGGAAAAACGAAGGATATCCAATCTGCTGTACTCTAGTTTACTAAAATTTAGTCTATTACTTTTGCTCTAAATATTCTTGGGGAGTAGGCTTAGCAGCGTTAACCACCCTAGCAGCGAAGAACCACCCTTCCTCAATAAGTAATACTGTACTACAACAGCTTGAAATTTAAACGTATTTGATTTTAATTGTATATAGGGTGTGGTAAGACATTTGTCTATCTAACTCTTCATAATGCTTATTTTCTGCTATAGCCTTCGTTCTCAAATAGCTTTTGGCTTTTTATAGCTACAAATGTGTCGATCAGATTACAAGGACCTTCAAGTGAAAATGGTACTGGTCGTGTCGAGGTATTCTACAATGGAACCTGGGGGACAGTCTGTAAAGCTGGATGGGATTTTAGAGATGCTAAAGTTGTTTGTGGTCAACTTGGTTATCCTGATGCCGTCAGACCTCCTCAAGGCAGACAGGTTCCATCAGCTTCTGGACAAATATGGTTAGATGACATCAGTTGTACAGGAAATGAAGAGAATATAGCAAGATGTTCTCATCGTGGATGGGGAATTAATAATTGCAATCATTCCGATGATGCTGGAGTAGAATGTGGTAATACAGATGGAGATACAAGAAGAAATACCGCTTACTATCCATTCATTGCTAAATTCAACCCCCGCCCCCCTTCTCATTGCTAAATTTTGAGCCCATTTTGAGAAAATGATGTGAATCATTGTTATATATGCTAATAATGTAAAAAATCTGTATGTGATCTTGCCTATCGAAATTTTCCATCATTAATGCCAGAAAATCTTGCACATAATGTTTATTATGAACCTTATCAAGAGGCATACTGCCGGCCTAGCCCCACCTTGGTTTTTGCTGGCCCCACCTTCTGTGGTCGTTAAAAAACTATCAGTATCGCTCTTCGTGTTTACTTCTCAGCAACCGTAGGCTACTTATAAAGTAATGCCTATCTAATCTGAGTATACAGAATCAGAATATTTTATTAGTCTCGATATTCTTTCATGTTTTCTTAGGTAAGCCTGCCAGTGTTTTATTGAGGTTACAAGGACCATTGAGTGAAAATGGTATTGGCCGTGTTGAAGTTTTTACTATGACAATGGGGAACAATCTGTGATGTTGGATGGGATTTGAGTGATGCCAGGGTTGTATGTCGTCAACTTGGTTATAAAAATGCTGCTAGGCCACTTCGTCGTGGACAGGTTCCTCCTGGTTCTGGGCAAATATGGTTGTCTAACGTTGGTTGCAAAGGAAACGAACAAAATATAACAAGTTGTTTACATGAAGCTTGGGGAAATAAATATTGTACACACATTCATGACGCTGGAGTTGAATGCAGCTCAGAAGGTGAGATAAACAAAAACATTGAAAGATTGAAATGTACTCCTGACGCTTATCACCACGAAATGATTAGAATGAACCAAAGATGCCTCAAGATTCTTAAAAAAAAATTCATGTTCATATACTCGTTTAAACGATTGCTTTCGATGGAAATCGATCTGTCACGCAGTATAAAGCGCTTTGGCGACGACCCTGAACATAACTTCACAAAGGCTTTCTGCAAGAGAAGAAATTAAATTAGCGCGGTTTCGCGCAACCAATATATTTAGTTTTCAACTTAATAAAAATTTGTAGCACATCGTAGATTAAAAACTTTAAAGTATAGAAGTTGAAAAATGCATGTCAGGTGGAATATTTCTACATAGGTACATGACTTTCACTTTGGATTTCGCGCTTATATTAAAAGCGTTTGTTCATATTATTATAACCTAGAGCTTAAATTAGCGTGTTAAAATTCCGCGCGAATTAATGTAAATGGTTCGTGTTGTGTTTCATCGTATTCTTCAATCGTGTGCAACGTGTCAACGCGCCATACACGACCACATCTTCAAACGGCGAAATAGCAGCGATATTATTAAATCAGAACCAGAATCCACATGTATTAAATTTATTCTTATATACTCCAGCTAAACCTAAATTAATCTAATCGAAAAGCATCAAAAGAGCGGTTTATTCGATTAATTTCCAAACGAAAAAAGCGCTTGTTTTTCCAAAGAAAATGCTGTTATACTCTTTCCTATCTCCCAATATAGGCTATGTCCCTTGCACTGGAAGAGAACCTAACAAGGCAAATTGCTCACATGGACCTTCGAGAAATAATAATTGCAAGCACAACGAAGACACTGGTGTGAAATGTGGTACAAAAGGTAAAACAAAATTTTGTCTCAATGTTGTAATGAGTCGCTGCCATTTTTGCTAAAGCTTGTTAGTTTTTCAATTTGAAAAATGTCTTTAAAAGTACGAATGATAAAACTCGCTTCACAAAAAGCTGTACAGTGCACAGTTTTTTGAAATGTAACCATGACAGTCGGCACAAAAATCTAGATGCGCGACATATATGGTGGTGTCCATATTTTTGGAAACCCTATATCTGAATGGGAGATCTATATGGTTTGCCCAAGCTTTGGAAACTGGTATATATTCGAATGAAAAAGATTGACGTTTATTTACGGATAATCAGTGCATGTAACATTTTACAGTTCTTCATGGTTGATGATATGATCTATTGCTTGTCTGTAGTTCATCTACTCTGTTTGGCTAACAATTACTATTTTCTACAAATTGATTAGGATTTTGTAAACACGATTCGATGTTAGGTTTGACGCTAGCTAATAACAACGCAGTCAGCGCACTACCCAAGTTTGGGTAGTCTCATGGCAATATTTACCTTTGCTAGAGAAATATCGTGTGAATTTTGTGTAAGTTAGGATTACGCGCGAAAAAGTCTTACCGTTCTTATAGTAAAGTCTCTATAGACGTTTGCAGGCAATTTTTTTGTGTTTCAAAACTTTCAAATCTTTTGGGATATGAGCACAGAAATCTTTTCTTTCGAAATTAAAAAAGGCGAACTTATGGTAAGTTGAGCAGTCGTTGACTGTCAAATTTAGTTATTGTTGTATCCTAATGGAAAATTTCAAAAAAAAGCGAGGAACTTTGCACCGAATATTTGCACCGAATAATTGTCTTCTTTGTTATTATCTTCCTTGTTATTATTCTTACCATCTGGTACAAGACAACAGTTGCAAAGATTGTGCAGGTAGATTTTTTTTTCTTATAAGCTGAAAAATTAATTTTTGTTAAATTCAAAACAGCAGACAATGCTGCTTGATACTTTTTGTACATTCCTTGTTCACCAATGATGGTAGCTGGTGCTTCAAAGAATGAATAAAAGAAGGCAAAACCTTTAAAAAATAACATTTACATGAATTACATAGTCCTAACCAGCTTTGTTTTTAACAGGGGTCACAAAAATTTGTGGTTTTGGTTTTCCAAATGAACTGATTGATAATGAACTGTTTTCCCCATGCAGAGGTATGTTCACTTGTACATATAGTGTATAGAAAATGACAACACATAATATTCATTAATACCCACATTGGTTAACAACGTAAAAGACGTTTGCTCCATGGAATTTGAGGCATGTAATCATATTCTAGCGGCACAATTGTCTAAAGAAATTAGATATGCAAACAAATGAGCATATTGTAGTAATTTTAGGTGTAGTCCATCTGTAGCTTAATATAAGGTCACGGTATTAAATCTTGAGAAGAAATTTATGTTTAAACCTCCGGTTATTTACCGTACCAGTCCTAAAGTATTCGAATAATTTGAAAACGTCAAAACAGGTAAATATAGAGAGGGCCACTTCCGTCTACGAGAATCCAGCTTTTTCTCCACAAAAGACGAATCAGCGAATTTGAAAGCGCAAAGGGATTCTTGACTATTAATAAAGATAACAGAACGTTTAAGCCTGGTTCACAATTGTCGCAAGAATCTTGGATTCTGTTTGTCTGAGGTCATGCACTGGTAGGCAAAATCCTTTGTCTGTGAGAAAAAAATACAATGGATCCCCGATTTTTAGATCAAGTGTGAACCGTGCCTAATGCTTGGTTCCATTAAGTCGTAAGTGTCGTAAACATGTCATGGTGGCTGTTGTGCATGATGAAATCTATTTATTTGCAATTATGCGTTTCTATTTTGAATGGAGAAATAAAGACAAATGTACAACCGGACTAATTCTCATCGGAGAAGATGACTCGTTCACGACAATTACGATAAAATAGAAACCTCGCTTAATAAGATTAGGACCGCATAATATTAAACAATAAAATTCCTTTCGGCTCCAAATTTGTTTCAAAAATGGGCCAACTAACTTAGCTATAGTGCTGATGAATTTAGACACCCTAATCAATCCAATTTGAAACAAAAATGAAAAAACGCTTTTAGTATCGCAATTGCACGCCTCTTTCTTCAACAAATATTTATTTTCTCTTCCTGCATGGTCGAGAGTATTTTTGTCTATTTTAGGCAGTTGTTATATACCATATTTGAAGGGACGAATACGCTACCACGCTGCTGCCAGGTTAAAAAAAAATATATAAATACATGCAATATAAGTTCCCGCACATCATCTATCACCTTTCAATTAAATATTGGAGCATCTTTGATAGCATCGATTCCTGACGTAAAATAGGACCAAAGGGTCAGTTTTTTTGCCTGAAATTTTTCTTTTTATTATTGTGAAATGCTTGCCGTGAGCGATGCGATGATTCATTATGCAGATTATGAATGTTTATGAAAAATCGACACAAATCGTCTGAAGCCTCGATTTTGAAGCTAAGCATATCAAAATGATCCTAGAAATGTGAACTAAATCACTCTAACCAGTTTTCGTTTCAATTGCGCAGTCAATTGTACTAGTACGTAAAATCAATAACAACACCATGCATTTAATGTATTCCATTTAATGAAAATCGATAGCGCGAAACGAATTTCAATAACCATTACCAGAAATTTGCGACATGATAGTTTGCATGTATACTAATTTGCATTTAACTTTCAGCATAATGGCCTTCAACATTTACTATAAAATATATATAGTAAATATACAAAACTTAAAAATGCCGTTGACCTAGACCTTGCCTACTGTTTGCCGACCTCTAGATCGGTAGAGCAGCTGTTTATAAACGTTTTGGTGGCCGAATTTTTTTGCCTGGGCATTTCTGTAATCTGCCAAATTTAAAAATATATTGCTCAAAGTTTTGTCCGTGTTCTGTCAACGAACTTATAAAATCGCTCACATTGATTCGAATATTTCGATTCAGGTAGTTGATGAATTGACGTGTAATATACCAAAAAAAGTTGTTAAAGATATTGTCTTTCGTATTTGTGTATAAACTTTTCTGTACGGCTCAGATTTTCACTGCAATCACTTTAAGAAATATTATCAGTCTCATCAGGAACTTGAACAATACGAAGGCTATATACACATTTGTTCACAATCAGTTGGCCGAACGTAGAAATACCTAAGGTAAGTAATTCGATCATTAAAACGTTGGGAAACGGCTGTTCCATTGACCCAGAGGTCGGCAAACAGTGGGCAAGTTCTAGGGCAACGACATTTTAAGGTTTTGTGTATTTACTATATGTATTTAATAGTAAAAGTTGAAGGCCATTATGCTGAAAGTTAAATGCAAATTAGTATAAATGCAAATTATAATGTCGCAAATTTCTGGTAATGCATTTATTGAAAACACAATTAGCATTGTTGCACAAACGATACAAAGAAACCAAAATAGATTTAAACAAAATCGTCATTAACACACTGTTCGCATACATTCTGTTGATCAATCTTATATCTATCTTTGTCGTTAAAAATTAAATTATTCTGCCATTTTAACGGAATTATTCTGCCATTGCCATTGGAAGAATACCGAAAACAAATTCATCACAGTTGGAAAATGCGTTGCCCTGGCACAAGCTAATGCAAGGGCACTTACCTAGATGTTTAGCGTGCAAGAGAACAAATACAGAGTTAAAATCAAACGTAAAATAGTCTTCTGGTGTGAATAAGAAAACATTCCGTTAAAAGATAGATATTAGATTGATCAACAGAATGTATGTGAACAGTGTGTTAATGACTATTTCGTGTAAATGTATTTTGGTTTAATTGTATTGTCTGTGCAACAATGCTTATTGAGTTTTCAATAAATGTTATTGAAATTCGTTTCACGCGCGCGCGGTATCGATTTTTATCAAATGGGACACATAATTAGG